TTTTTTATTTATTATTATATTCTGAAGTTATTAAAAATATATATTGAAATTTAATCTAATTTTTTTATAAATAATATCATAACAATATTAATAATTTAGATTTATATTTTTACTGCTTATTTCTGATATTCTTATCATTTTAATTTATAAGATTATCACTCACTATTAAATTTTTTATAATTAATTTAATCAAATTTATTAAATTTGATTGCTTAATAAGCTTAATAATTAAGATAGATATATATATTAGAATTTTGCCAACCACTAAAAATATTTTTAATTTATAATGAAAAAATTAAAAAATAAATTTTTATTTGTTTCAAAATAAATAAACTAAATTAATGTTTATCAAATCATTAAAAATTTTATTTTTGACACGCATTTACTAAAATAGCGAAAATATTAATATTTTTTATAAGTTAATTCTGAAATTTAATAATATATAAAGTTAATGAGCTACCCATATCAATATTTTTTTTGATAAAGAAACTAAATTTTAACTATATAAATAGGCTACTCAATTATTATGAATAAAAAACTTAAATCTAAAATATTTACTTTAATAAGGTATATTTATTTAATTAAAAATGAAAAACATTGATTGAACTAACCTGAGTAATTAATATTTAAATGATATTTGATAATTTTTTGTTTTTAAAAGCTGTACAGCAAGAATAAATTAAAGGAATAAATTAACTTATTTGATCCTAATAATTTGGTCATTTAACAATCAAATTAACTAACTAAATATTTATTTATGAAATAAATTACTTTTTAAAAGTTAAAAAATTTATATATTTTTTTTAAACAAATCAACCTTGAATATTAATTTGAGAGAATTCTTTGATTTTCTAAATTTATGTAAATAAATTAAGAAATAAGCTATATTTAATTTAAAACTTCTCATAATTTTATCATTAATATTACTATCAAATTAATTTTTTTATTTCAAAAGTTGAACAGCCAGCAAATATAAATTATAATAGCAACATTTGAATATTATGCGATCTTAATAAAATAATCGTTTAAAAATTAGACTTTAAATTGGTATTATTTTTACATTTTAAATAAATAACTTGATGAGATTTAATTTTTAATTTTAATATAATAATAGTTTTTATTTTTTAAAAATTTGCAGATAAATTAAGAATATTGATAAAGTTAAATCTGAAAATAAAAGTAAAAATTAAAAATAGTTAACCAAATAATTAATAATCTCTAGTGATAATTTGATAATATTATTAAACTGTATTGTTAATTTTCTTTTTTTGATTTTCAAAAGTTGAACAGCAAAAATAGATAGTAAAAGAAAAAATTAATTGTTATATGATCTTAATTAATTAATCATTCAGCAATTTTATTTAACAATAATTTGATTTTTATATCTTAAATTAATCATTTAATCAAATTTGATGATTTTAGTTAATTTAACATATAAAATAATTGACTTTTTACCTTTACAAACAAAATAAATTTTATTTTTTAAGTTTTACTCCATATAAAAAATTAAAATTTGAATTGATTTTAAAAATCAGACTAATAAAACATTGTATTTTTTAATATTGTTAACTAATAAGATAAAATTGGGTAATTTTGTCTGAGCTTCATGCCATTATATCTGAAATATTAATATCAAACTTTTTATAATTTTCAAAAGTTGTACAGCAAAATTATGAGAACAGATTAAAAATTTAGCTATTTTTTTATCATTATTTTAAGATTACTTGATACTGTCATTTCTATAATTATGGTGCTTTTAAATAAGGTCCATTTTTGAAATAAGGTATATAAATAAATTTTGTGATACTCTATTTCTTGCAATGGTATCCATTAGGAAAAAGAAACTGAGGTTTTATGATATTTAGAAATTGTTTAAATCTTAAAATAAAAATTGCAAATTTTCATTGCTGTCTTTTAATAATTCAGTAATTAAATCATTAGAATTGCACAAAGAATTTACAAAAGCACTATTAAAAATCAAAAATTAAATGATTGAATCCATATTATTTAATAATTTTTTTATAAATAATTACTGATACTAGCCAAACTTTATCAAAAATTAGAATTAATTGTATAATTTATTTGCGGATTGAATTCTAAATAATGGTTTAAAATACGTATTTATACTGAATAACAAATAATGTTAAATCAGTCTTTTTTATATTTTTTTACACAAAAGAAAGTGTCATTTAGAACTTGGACATATGGGTTATTGATTCATTATCAATTTAAAAAAATAAAAGACTGTGCGAATTAATTATTCACCTAAATAAATAGTAATTAGAAATAGACTAAATCTAAAGAGCGAATAATAAAATGGAATAATATTTAACTAAATAAAATAAATATTAAAGTGAAAGCATGCATTCCTGCTAGATAAATACTACAGAAGAATAAAAAAAAAGCTTTCCTGAAAGCAATTAGTATAAAAAATAATTATATATGATTAATTTATTCTAACATTATTATCTTAAAAAAGAATTCAATCTGATTATAAGGAAGGTTTCTAGTCTGTATCTCAAAAGCTTGATTCCATTTTTAACAGATTAGATACCGACTTAAATCAAAAAAGTGTACGCTTGCTAAAGAGCAGATATCGTCATCCTATTAATTCTTGCTAAGGTTCAAAAGTTATAGGTAAAGAAATAAATTTAAATAGTTTTACGCACTAATTAATAATTATCTAATACTATGCCAATCAATATATTAAATAATATATAAACATATATAACCTATAAACACAAACAAGAATATAATAAAAACTTTTACATTCAATGTAGAAAATTAAAATAGATATACCTATAAGTTATTTGTGTTTAAAAATGGTGTCTAAAATTAACAAAAAGGTAATCATTTTAGTAGGCTTTTAAATACAAAAATTTTTTAATTAGCCTATAGGGCTTGTACTTTATAAGCAAGTTAGAAAATATATAAATCAGAATTAAAATAAAAGTAAGAAGGCTTTTTAATAGAATTATCTATAAATTAATCAAACAACAAACAACTAAATTCCATTTTTCTAATAAAAAAAATTTTTTTAAATAAAGAAAGTTGTCCTCTTAATGGTAATGGAGATGAAAGCGAAAATAGTTTTGTTAATTCCACTTATCAAAAAACTGATAAAAGTGAGCAGAGTAGCCAAAATAATTGTCAAAATAAGAAAGTTAGCTTCTGTAACTAAAACAGTATATTTTTTTATTAATATTTTTGATAAAATATTTTCTTGTTTCTTATTTAATATAAATATCAGTAATCTATCATTTAATCATTAAATTTATGTGTAATAAATATTCCTGCAAAATATTTTTCAAACTAAAAAAGAAGCCACATTTAATAATAGCTACGAAAAGGATACAAAGGTATAATTTTAAGGTAAATAAGAAGTAAATGACTCTAATTTAGGTAAATTTAGATTCTTTAATTTTAAATAATGACATACTAAAATGAATAGATACTTCTTATGAATTTTCTTTTGATGAGGGCAAAAAAAAATGTAAATCAATTTTGAAAAGATCACAGACATACGAAATAAAGTCATGTAAAATATAAGAATAATAAAATCGATTTGAAAATTAATTTATCTTCTTTTATAAAGAAAAAGCTGATGATGAAGATGATTATGGAACAAACTAACTTAAATTAGACTTTTGCGGAATAGAAAAAGAAAGAGTTGTTTAATACTTGCTTGATAATGAAACATGTAATTCAAAATGTGTTTAATAATATTTTTTCAGTGAGATGGTAACTAAAATATCGAGCTCTGGATAAACATCTGAGAGGATAATTTTCATCACCCGTAATTCCTTTTATGTGTTATAAGATATTTATAGTTATAAGCATATTTAAAAGTTTGAAATTTCTGAAATCAGCAAAATAATAATTTATTCACAATATAAAAATATATGCTCTATTGTTATAAGTAACCAGTTTTAATTAAATCTAAAAATCAACCATTTAGATCAATTTACATAATTCATTCTGACAATTTGTAAGGACATCTTAAAAGCGTCAATCCCTATAATCTATAATTAGAATTCTTTACAGCCTAATATTAATTAAAATAATAACATTAAATCAAAAACTCAATCATCATTTTTCAATAACAAAACTAAAGAATTTTACATTTACATCTAGAAAATAACTAATAATATTTAGCATGAAGGCTCTTAAATGCTTGGCTTAATTTAGTTTATTTAGAATGGAATTTTTATAATGGGATTGGATAAATCTTAGGAATTAAATAGACTTACCTAGGTATAGCCCTTTTAAATAAACTAATAATAAACAAGCGTAATCTTTAAATCTATAAAAAACTAAGATCATCTGTTCCTTGTTAAACTAAAAGACAATTAAAATTTTTAAATATTTGTAAATCAGATTTAAAACATATGCCAGAGTTAAACTAACTGACAAAAGCAAAAAAAATCAATTTTTATATTTGTAATTTCTTATATTCTCTTTAACATATTTCTTGTGTAATTTAAATGTAAAATTTCGAAAAAATAAAGTTATTATATTTGCTCTTTTCTAAATCAGCTTTAATTGGTGTATTTATTATCACAAATTTTTATGTTGTAAAATTATTGATTATAAAATGGTAAAAACAAAAATTAAAAGAATAAAATTAATAAGAATAATTAATAATAATTTATATTTGCTTTTATTATTCGCTGGTCTAATTTCACCATTAGACAAAAAATTAGCTAGGATTTTTAATTAAGTAAATTTATAATTTTAATGGGGCAAGATAATAATGATAATCTAAGGGATTAAAATCACCACCTTTTATATTTAATTGTTAAAATTTATTCAAGACTCTTTTTCAATCTAAAAAGTTTCTTAACTTACTTTACAAAGGTGATCAATTTAGAAGTTTAGAGAAATCAGTGTTAATATATATTTTCATAGATCTTTTATATTTAAATGTAATTTGTTGAAGTAAACACAAACAAACAAATTAATTACTATTAATTTTTTAACAACCTAGATTTTAAATTTAAAAAATCATATGTAACTAAATACTAGCATAATTAATATAAATATTTTTTGAATTAAATCTAAAAAATTAAGATTATTTTGATTTTTTATTAGCATGCTTAAAAATTATTAAACAATTACCATTCAATTTATTCGAAAATTTGGTTGCTACTTAATTTAGAGGATAGATTCTTTATCTATCTTCTAGTATTACTGATAAAAGTCAATTTTTAAATATAATTTTTTAGCCATTTAAAATATTTGGAATAAAATTTATTTTATCATAAATAATGACTAGTTATTATTATAATTTTATCTCTTAACCATCTAAATTATTTATTAAATTTTCTTTATAATAAATAGTTAATAGACCAGCTGTATTAGAATCATCATTATATATAATATGCTAAATATAAATTACTATTTTGTTAATTTTAAATTAAAATATAATCTAATATCAAAAATAAATTAAATAACTTTCTTCTTTCTTTTTACAGAATTTTGAAAATCTTTATTTCTTTTCAATAATTGAATAATTTTTATTAAGCATTTCTTACACTGATTTATCTATCTATCTCTTTCTTTCTAAAATTTCAACAAAAAGAATGTTGATATCAGAGAACATTTATGCAATAGCTATGAAAGTCTATAAATATAGTGTCAGAAAATTTTTCAAAAAGCTCTAATCCATTATATATTTTAACTTTTTGCTAATAAATAAATATTAAATACTAATTTTTTCAAAATTTTGTTATTTTTTTGTCCCAATTGTATATATTTATTTACCGTAAATTCTAGATAATTAAGGACTTTTTTGAGTGGTATTTCAAAAAGGACTAAATTTTTACAAAAATTTTGATTTGAATTTGTCCTTAATTAATGAGAAACTATGGTATATAAATAATAATATGATTAGGTCTTTATTTTCAGATATATTAAATTTATTATTTTACAGAAAAAATAGTTCTACTTTTCTATAAATGATTCATAAAAAAATTTAAGAAAGTCTTTATTAAAAATGTTGTCTATGATTTGTTTCATTCAGAATTTTTTCTCAAAAAATAATCTAAGTTTTATTAACACAATTTATAAAATTTTATTAATTAAATATGTTAATAATATTTAAATTATAAACAAATTCATCTTAATATATAGTCAAAATATCAAAGAAAAATAATTTAAAATTAAATTTCTTAAAGTTAAATAACTAAATTCATCATAAAAATTAATGAATTATTTAAATAAATTCTTTCCAATCATATTAATTTTACTCTCAAATAATAATTAATAATATTAATAACACTTGATTTTATTTTTTAAATTTATGTTTTAACTTATCTAATTAATTAATGAAATAATATTAACACATAAAATAGAAATTAAAAAGCAATATTTATTTTTTGCTTAAAATAGAGGTCATTCACTATCATTTATATATTTAATTACCAGAATTTTATTTAAATTCAAATTTTAGAAAAATATTAAAATAATAGGTTTTTGAATAAAGATCAACATTAAAAAAATTGGGGTCGTCCGAGAATCGAACCCGGGACCTCTCGTACCCTAAACGAGAATCATGCCACTAGACCAACAACCCTTAATCAACAGTTTAAGATCAATACAACTTTGTGTTTTTTCTTTTAAATTGAACAATATTATTTATTTCTTAAATTCACTATTTTTTTACCTCTTTCTATTTAAAAACATTTAGATAGGTTTTTAGAAGGTTGATTAGTATGTAATACATTTTTTTAGATGAAATCTTTATTTTTATTTTAAGTCGATTGATTACTCTCATTAAAAGGATATTTATTATTTAAAAGCACAACTAAGAAAAACAAAGTCTATTTTATTATGTTTTTCTTTAACTTATTAGATTAATAAAAAGTTTGCGTTTAATCTATAAAAAATATTAAAAAATTAAAAATGATCTATAAAAATTGTAAAGATTATTTTTTCTTTAAAATTATCAATTTTATTTATTTAAAATAATAAAATTAAATATAATTTTTATAAAATGAAAAAAGAATATCTAAAAATAAATAATTGCCTTAATTATCAAATCAAAATTTAAAAAAAAAAATTGGGGTCGTCCGAGAATCGAACCCGGGACCTCTCGTACCCTAAACGAGAATCATGCCACTAGACCAACAACCCTTAATCAAAAGTTTAGATTTGTTTATAATTATTCTATTTAATTTTCTATTTATTTTATATGAAACTAATTAAAAATATATTTTAAAAAATCTAAAATATTTACAAGCAACAAAAAATAATTATTGTCATGGATACATTTTTATTTTAATTTTTAAAAATCAATTCTTGCTAAATTTATTTATTACTTAACATTGGTTGATTATCTCATAATTTTTAAATAACATTTTTGAAATTAAACTTCTACTTTTCTTTCAAGCCTAGTTTAAATATATATGAAATAAATAGTCTTTAAAATGTTTATGTCTAATATTTTTAAAAACTAAAAAAAGAAATTTTTATTTATTTTACATTTAAAATAAAATAAACAAACATAATAACCAAATAACTATTACAAACATAACTTAACTTAATTTCTTTTAGTTAAAAGAATGATTTGACTCAAAAACTAGCATACAATTTTTTAAATTGAAGAATAATAAATTACTAAATCTAACATTATTTATCTATTTTATATTTAGATAATAAAGAGAATAAAATCTAAGAAATAAACAGGATATTTTATATAATAATAAATCTTTTAGAATTCTTTCAAAATACAATACTATAAATCCTCGCATTAGAATATCAACCTCCTTCTTAAAATCATCAAAAGTATTTAATTATAAATTTATTAACACTCATATTTAAACGCAATAAATTTGCTACAGCTTTTTATATGATTACATTATATTTTATTATAGGTTCTGTTGTTTATAATTGATGGATATTACATAAAAAAGCAACTAGTAGCTCTCCTCAAAGTAAAAATTAGATTTATGCAGAATCAAATTCTTTCTTATTGATTCTTATCAGTATTTTTTAAATTTATTTATTTATTTTTAAGTTTTTTTTATTTATTTATTAACACTACTTAGTTTGATATTAAAAATATACTTCAATATTCTATCTTTATTAAAATATTCAAAAAATTCTTATTAATTTATATTTTATATAATTATAGCCAATTCTCCTTTATTTTATCAATCTTAATTATTAATATATATAATCTAATTAATTTTAATCATATAATCTATTGCTGGTTAATAGCTATCTAATTTTTATATAAAAATACAGATAATAAATAAATAATTAATATACAGTTCGTTTAATCACATTTCTCGTTGTGTAATTACTATTAATCATTAATTCCTCTTAGAAACAAATAGTAATAATTTAAATGTTTATGTATTGCTATTTAAACTAAAAATGCATTATTTTATTTAAATTTTCAGTTTTATCAAAAATAACTTTTAAAATCTTTATTATTATTTTATACACTTTGCTTATTAAAAAAATATTAACAACTAAATTTAGCTTTTCCTACTAATTTTGCATATTCATAAAATTTTATTACAAGTAATTTTATGGAGTTGTTTGATAAAAGGTAGTTAGTTATTTATTAAATTTCAATGTGGATGCATTTATATTTTTTCACCAAAAAATCTGTGTTATTTTAGAAAATAATTTTAAATTTAAATATAAGAATTACTAATATTCTTTATAAATACCATAATCTATCATATACTCCAAAAAAAATTTAATTGCTTAGATAATTGCATTTATACTTTTATTAGAGAAATCAAATTATTTTATAAAATAAAAACAAAGTAAAAATTAAATGAGAAAATACAATAAATATTGATTGAAAATATCTAAAAACTTCTTTGTTTGAATATTTTAATAAATAAATTAAATTAATAATACATTTTTCTAAAAATTAAGTGTCTTTTTTCATAAAAAAAATTATAATTGTTATTTGGTGTTGGCAGGCATTATTATTTATGAATTTATTCGATTAATCTATTAATAATAATCTAAGAAAAGAATTTAAATCCAGAGAAGTTAATTTCTTCTTAAATCAATAAAGCTCATTAAAGATATTGAAATTAGATATTTAATTATTTTGTTAATCAAAAAAGTTAAACCATATGAATCCACTGTTAAATATTTGTATAATTTTACACATAAATGCCATTCAAAAAGTAATATTTTCTTATTATTAATAAAAAGCTTGTAATATTTAAAATAATATTTATTTTAAAGTTTATTTATCTAACAATAAATTGTTTCAGTATAAAAAAACGATTATCTTGTAAAGATAAAAGAATAATTAATAATCAAACCTATTCAATACTGATGTCTTGAATTATTAAAGTTATGGACAGTATATTAAAATAAAACAAATACATATAATGATTCTGATTTAAGCAACTCTCTGTTATTAATTAACTGAAGAATGCTAAATTAATATAATTTATTTTCTTAGATCAATAACTATATACTAAATATATAATATTGATAATAGAGGTGGGAATAGAAACTAATTATTTTCTTACCAATTTTTAATATTTTGTTTATAAATTTAAAATACAAATTCTTAATCAATAATTTAATTAATCGATTCCCACCTGATTTATTTAAAATTATATTTATGCAAAAATATTAATCAAGGAATTAGAAAAAACAAAAAAAACATTTTAATATATTTAGTTAAAGTTTATATTTTATTTTGAATACGTAAAATTCATTAAGGTATTTCTTCATTTAAGTTTTTCTATAGAATCAATTTAAAAATAGCAAAAGAGTAAATAGTAAATAAATACGAAATCACTGAACTTATTTTTGTAAAACAATTACGTGATTGATATGTTTTTTTCCCTTATTTTTCAAGAAGAAATTAGATTTCGTCATCATCATTCGCATTTTTTAAACAAAATCAATTAATAAATTACTTTTTCAATCAATTTAAATTATGTAATATCCGCATTATGATTTATAATAGGAATGGAATATTTTTTAAATATTATAATCAAATTAAAATACAAAACTTAATATAATATAAATAATACTAGAAAAAATAAATGAGTCATAACTACAATTTGTAGACTAGCTTTTCGATAAGAAGTAGATTTTCAGATTAAAATAAGTAAAATATGTTTATATTTTCTTATTATTATAATTAAAAAATATAAAAGAACTTAAACCAACTCATTGGATAGTATTTCACCAATAAACTAAACGCCACATCAGTTTTTCATGTAACTAGAAGCTGATTGTTAATAAAAAATATAATTAAAAAGTAATGAAACTCTACTGAAATCTAACATATCTTCTGAAATAAGTAAAAGTTTCATATTACTTTCTAATACAAAACATTTATAATTATATAGATTACTCAAATACAGACATACAAGAAGATAATACTCAAGAAACGGTATATCCTATAAATACCTTAAACACTAAAAGTTTTTCTCAATTCGCAGAGAATGAAGACAAAGATATCAAACTTGATATAAATTTTTTAAACACATCAATTCCATAATAGAAGCGTAAATGCTTTTTTATTTATAAAAAAAATTTACTTTATAATTATTAATATAAAGAGAACTAAGATTAAAGTTTCTGCCTAAATCAGTAATAAAATAGATAAAGTAATGATTATTTTGAAGAAACATCCCAAATTTAATCTAGTAATTTATTTCATTTCAAATAAACAAATTTTTAAAAATAACACTATTGAAAATTAAGACACCTTTCTTAATGACACTGAATTCGAATTTGAGAGCTTAAAAAATTCATCTTATCAAAATACTGAAAAAACTGAAGTGAGCAGCATTAAAAGCACTTCACAAAAAAGAGTGACTTTTAATGAGAAAATTGAACAAAGTACATTTTTTAATTAAAATCATTTTCAAATTTATGAAATTTCAAGAATTTAATAGAAAAAAAGAAATATTTTTATAAATTTGATATTTTATGATAAAGAATACAGTTAATTAATTTGAGGAGAATATTCATTTTTTTTAATTTTAAAGAGGTTTTTTAGAAAGATGATATTAATGCGCTAGAGTAAAAGATTTAAATATTATTAAGAAAATATGACGTTGAAAACAGATAATTGGGTAAGTTTTTAACTTTTAAAATTATTTTTAAGTAATTTATTTAAATTAATTAGAATCTAACTATTTTTTTGGCTAAAGTCATGGTAAATAAACAAGAAAAACCATTTTGAAAGCATCTAAATCTTGGGAATAAACATCAGGTAAAAAATTATTAGTTAGTTTGTTAGTTAGTTTAAAAAATAATTAATCATTAAAAAAAATATTAGAATATAATTAATCTGATTAATAATAATAATACGATTCTTTTGAAAGAACTCAATTTGATATGGATTTTTGCGAAATAATAAACGAAGAAATTATCTAGCAATTACTTTAAAGTGATAGTCCAAATAAAAATTAAAATTATTTTTTTAGTGAGTTAGTTACCAAAATATCTCGTTCTGGTGAGAAGAAAAAACGAATAATATTTTTTAATCAAAATTCCTTTTATGTTCTCAAAAACCTTAGTTCTCATAAAGGAATATAAAAATTCAATCATTCAGAAATCAACAAAATAGTTGTGCACTCAAATAATACTAATTTTTGTTCTATTGTTGTGAGAAGCAAGTTTTAATTAACCTTAAAAATTAATCACTTTAATGAATTTATCAAAACTATTGGAGATATATTCAAATATATATTAAAAACTAATTTGCCTATAACCTATAAATATAATAAATCCTCATGTGAGAAATCTGAAGATAACATAATCGAGAACAGCTATGCCTCACAAAGCGATTAGCTTTCAATGAATTATCAAAGATAATTTTACATAACAATTAACAAAATAAATAATAATAAATATTTAGATGACTTACAAATATTAGGTTTATTATAAATCTTTGATATAGATATTTGTATAAGCAGTTTAGAGAAATGTGAAGGTTTAAATAGACTGCTTTAAGTAGATTTAATTGAGATAGATTTATAAAATAGAAGATTTTTTTTTAAATCTATTTAAAATTAAAATAATTTATTCCTAATAATGCTTTAAAATGACTTAGAGCTTACAATTTTTATAGATTAAATATAAAAGTTTTATAAAAAAAAAACATAAACTATCTGATTGACACCTTAACTTATTTGCATGTATTTTTATTATTGTATGCTTTCAATTAATCAATATGTATAATTCATTAATTTACTTTTTATTACGAGTTATTCTGATACAAAAAATTTGCAAAACATATATATGATTGTATGCAAAAGTTATCTTAATCTAATTTAATTAATTAGTTAATTTATAAATCAGGCTAGATAAATTTTATTTTTATATATTTTAAAATGGATCATAAATTAAGACATCCATCAATACAATAAATATGATTGTCATAGTTAGTTATATATATATATTTAATTGGAGAATGTATTAAAACATTTTTTAAGTTAAAGTAGATATTATTGTAAACTATTAATAAGAACTTATGAATATATAGGTAGGTAAAAACATGTATCACCAGTAATATTAATAATAAATAGGAATATACTAGTGTCAAGCAAATTATTATTTAAATATAAAACACATATTAAATTATATACCTTAAATCCTCATAAATTCTCACCAGCATAAATTTTCACTATATTTTCTGAATTAATAATATACTAAGATTTTCATAAATATTTTATCATGGATAGATTGAACTTGGGAACCTATTAATATATTAAATATTGTAATAATGTTTAAATAAATTATAACATATTATCAATGTATATTATATTTATGTAAATAACTTCCATTCAACAACAAGCAAAATAAATAAATAAATATATTTTTATTTAATAAAATTAATCTTTTAGTAATAAAAAAAATTTTGCTAAAATCTGATTTTTCTCTAAAGAATTTTATTTATTTTAAAATGATATTGTATTTTGATAATAAATTATGTATTTATTAATACTAATATTTAATCGCAATAAATAAACGAAGCTTTTTGTGTGATTACAATAAATTTTATTTTAGGTTGCTTATAATTGATGGATATTACATAAAAAAACAACTAGTAACTTATCTCAAAGTAAAAATAAAATTTATCAGAATCAAGTTCTTTCTTATTGATTTTTGTTTACTATCGCTTTTAATATATATCACATCTATTATATTTTTGATTATTTGATGTGCATTATTTTAATTTGCAAAAAGCTAAAAAAATAATGTTTTCGAATTATATTCTATCCTTCACTTAAAACGTTTTAACAATTTATTATGTTAAAAATACTAATAAGCATAATATTTAAAATATATTTGAAAAGTTCATCTTAATCTAAGTATGCAAAAAATTCTTACTATTTTGTATATGAAATTAAATTTTAGCTAATAAGTATTTATTTTATCAATCTTAATTATTAATATACATAATCTAATTAATTTTGGTCAGAAAATAAATTATTGGTAAGTAACTATAAAATTTTTAATTAAAAATATAGCTAATAAATAAATAGTTAATATAAAGTACATTTAATCCCATTTCTCGATTCATAATTACTATTAATCATTAATCGCTCTTTAGAAACAAAAACTAATTTAAATGTTTATGAATTCCATTTTGAACTAAATGATGTATTATGTCAATTATATTTTAAGTTATATCTAAAGTAACTTTTAAAATCTTTATTATTGCTTTATACTCTTTACATATTTAAAAAATTTGTATGACTAAATTTAATTTTTCTTACTAATTTTGTATATTCATAAAACATTATTACAAGTAGTTTTATGGAATAAAAGGTAGTTGTTCAATTTCAACGTGCATTTATTTTTTTTCACCAATAAATCTGTGTAATTTGAGAAAATAATATAAAATTAATATTTATGCATTACTAATATACTATATAAATACCATAAACTATCACAAACTCCAAAAAAAAATATATATTTCCATCAAAAATAAATTTAAAAATATAGAGAAATCATATTTTTTTATAACATAAAAATAAAGTAAAACTTTAAGAGAAAATACAGCAGATAGATATTGATTTAAAATTTCTAAAAACTTCTCAGTTTGAATATTATAAAAATAAATTAAGTTGATAGATAATACATTTTTCTAAAAATTAAGTGTCTTTTTCATATAAAATTTTTATATTGGTTGATTCGTGTTGGTTGGTACGCATTGTTATTTATGAATTTATTAGATTAAGTTATTTATAATTATCTAAGAAAAAAACTATAACTCGAAGTTAATTTCTTATAAAATAAATAAATAAAGTAAAGTACATCAAGGAAATTGAAATTAGAAATTTTAATTATTATGGTACTCAATAAACTTAAAAAATATTAATCAATTTTTAATTATTTGACACATAAATATCATTAAAAAAGTAATATTTTCAAATTATTAGTAAAAAGCTTGTAATGTTTAAGATAAATTATTTTTTTTTAAAGTTTACTTATCTAATAATAAAAATCTTTTAGTACCACAAAACGATTATCTATTTTAAAGATAAAAGAAAAATTAAAAAACAAGCCTATTCAATACTGACACCTACCTTGAATCTTGAAAGTCATGGACAGTATATTAAAATAAAACAAATAAATATAATGATTCTGATTTAATTCTCTCTGTTATTAGTTAATTATAGAATTTTAAATTATTACAATATATTTTCTTAAATAAATAAATAAACACTAAACATATATAAATTTGATAATAGAGGTGGGAAAAGAAACTAATTCTTTACTCACCAACTTTGAATATTTTATTTCTAAATTTAAATTACAAATTCTTAATCTACTATTTAAAAAATCGATTCCCACCTGATTTATATAAAATTGTATAAAAGCAAAAATATTAATCAAGAAATTAGAAAAAACAAAAAAAACATTTTAATATATTTAGTCATAGGTTATATTTTATTTCGAATATGTAAAATATCTTAAGGTATTTCTTTATTTAAGTTTTATTTTTGAAATAATTCATTCAGTAAAATTAAAATATTGCAAACAACTAACGAGTTAATAGCAATTAAATGCGAAATCACTGTACTTACTTTAGTAAAAACTTAATCTGATTAATTTTTATATATTATATGATTGATACCTATATAAAATATGTTAAGGCATTTCTTCATTTGGGTTTTATTTTTAAATAATTGATTCAGTAAAATTGAAATATAGCAAAGCAAAGAGCTAAAGAGTTAATAGCAATTAAATCTGAAATCACTGTACTTATTTTAGTAAAAACTTAATCTGATTAATTTTTATATATTAATTATATCATTAATACGTTTTTCCCTTTATTTTTCAAGAAGAAATTAGATTATTGTCATCATCATTCACATTTTTAAACAAAATTCAATTAATAGTCAATAATAACTTAATCAATAATGTACTATTCTTTCTATTAATTTAAAATATGTAATATCCATATTATGTTTTATATTAGGTTTGGAATGTTTTTTTAAAGGTTATATATAATCAAATTATAATACAAAAATAATATAAAAAAACTTTAAAATAAAAATGAGTCACAACTACAATTTGTAAACTATCTTTTCTAATAGAAGCATATTTTCAGATAAAAATAAGTAAAAAATGTTTATATTCTTATTATTATAATTTAAATATTTTATAAAAGAACTTAAACCAACTCATTGGATAGTATTTCACCTATACCCTAAAGGACTCATCAGTTTTTCATGTAATCAGAAGCTGATTGTTAATCAAAATAATAATTAAAAAGTGATGAAACTCTACTGAAATCTAACATGTCTTCAGGAATAAGTAAAAAGTTTCATATTACTTTCTAATAAAAAACATTTATAATTATATAGATTACTCAAATACAGACATACAAGATGATAATACTCAAGAAACTGTATATCCTATTAATACCTTAAACGCTAAAAGTTTTTCTCAATTCTCAGAAAATGAAGACACGGATATCAAACTTGATATAAATTTTTTAAACATATCAATCCCATAATAGAAGTGTAAATTCTTTTTTATTTTTAATTAATAAAATTTACATAATAATTATGCATATAAAGAGAACTAAGATTCAAGTTTCTGCTTAAATCAGTAATAAAATAGATAAAGTAATGATTATTTTGAAGAAACATCCCAAATTTAATCTAGTAATTTATTTCATTTCAAATAAACAAATTGTTAAAAATAACACTATTGAAAATAAAGACACACTTCTTAATGATAATGAATCTGAATTTGAGAGCTTAAAAATTTCATCTTATCAAAATACTGAAAGAACTGAAGTCAGTAGCATTAAAAGCGCTTCACAAAAAAGAGTCACTTTTAACGAGCAAATTGAAAAAAGTAAATTTTTCAATTAAAATCATTTTCAAATTTATGAAATTTCAAGAATTTAATAGATAAAAAAGAAATATTTTTATAAATTTGATATTTTAAGATTAAGTTTAATTAAATTGAGGAGAATATTCATTTTTTTTAATTCTAAAGAAGTTTTTTAGAAAGATGATATAAATGGGCTACAGTAAAAGATTTAAATATTATTAAGAAAATATGAAGTTGAAAACAGATAATTGGGTAAGTTTTTCTTTTAAAATTCTTTTTAAGTAATTTATTTAAATTAATTAGAATCTAATTATTTGTTTGGCTAAAGTCATGGTAAATAAACAAGAAAAACCATTTTGAAAGCATCTAAATCTTGGGAATAAACATCAGGTAAAAAATTATTATTTAGTTAGTTTTTTAAAAAAATAATTAATCATTAAAAAAAATATTAGAATATAATTAATCAGATGAATAATCATATGATTCATTTGAAACAATCCAATTTGATATGGATTTTTGCTAAATAATAAACGAAGAAATTATATAGCAATTACTTTAAAGTGATAGTCCAAATAAAAATTAAAATTATTTTTTTAGCGAATTAGTTACCAAAATATCTCGTTCTGGTGAGAAGAAAAAACGAATAATATTTTTTAATCATAATTCCTTTTATATTCTCAAAAACCTTAGTTCTCATAAAGGAATATATAAATTCAATCTTTCAGAAATCAACAGAATAATTGTACACTCAAATAATACTAATTTTTGTTCTATTGTTGTGAGAAGCAAGTTTTAATTAACCTTGAAAATTAATCACTTTAATGAATTTATCAAAACTATTGGAGATATATTCAAATATATATTAAAAACTAACTTGCCTATAATCTATAAATAAAATAAATCCTTATGTGAGAAATCTGAAGATAACATATTCGAGAACAGCTATGCCTCACAAAGTGATTAGCTTTCAATGAATTATCAAAGATAATTTTATATATCAATTAACAAAATAAATAATAATAAATATTTAGATGACTTACAAATATTAGGTTTATTATAAATCTTTGATATAGATATTTGTATAAGCAGTTTAGAGAAATGTGAAGGTTTAAATAGACTGCTTTAAGTAGATTTAGTTGAGATAGATTTATAAAATAGAAGATTTTTTTTTAAATCTATTTAAAATTAAAATAATTTATTCCTAATAATGCTTTAAAATGACTTAGAGCTTACAATTTTTATAGATTAAATATAAAAGTTTTATAAAAAAAAAACATAAACTATCTGATTGATACTTTAACTTATTTGCATGTATTTTTATTATTGTATGCTTTCAATTAATCAATATGTATAATTCATTAATTTAATTTTTATAACAAGTTATTCTGATACAAAAAATTTGCAAAACAAACATATGGTTGTATGAAAAAGTTATCTTAATCTAATTTAATTAATTTACAAATCAGGCTAGATAAATTTTGTTTTTATATATTTTAAAATGCATCATAAATTAAGACATCCATCAATACAATAAATATGATTGTCTTAGTTTGTTATAGATAATTAATTGGAGAATGTATTAAAAAATTTTTTAAGTTAAAGTAGAAATTATTGTAAAATATTAATAAGAAATTATGAATATATAGGTAGGCAAAAACATCTATCACGAATGATATTATTAATTAATATAGGATTCTTTAGGTAAAATATATTGGTTGATTTTAGAGGAATTACTTTATTTATTTAAATAAATTAAAATCTTAAATTTTATTTTGTTTGATAAACTATTTATTAACTTACCAAAATATTATATTTACAAATATAAAAGTAAATAAATACTCTATCTATTTATTATGTTAGGTTAATTTATCTGAACAGATTATTAAAACATAAAACATATTATATTTAAGTATTCAAATAAATTTTTATTTTTTTGTTATTTTACCGCTTTTTTATCATCAATATTTTATTTTTAAGGTAACTAATCTTTTTGATTTATGACACTTTACTTTCAATTTTTATGATTTATTTATTTAGTTGAACCTTTTAATATAAATTAGCTTAAATACAAAAATTAAATAAAATATTATATTTTAAATAAATAAATATAACAAAATAAGAAAAATAAAAATAAATTAAAAGAATTAGTTATATTGTTTATTCAAAAATATCATAATCCAAAACAAATAAGCTGCTTTTACTAAAGACCTAGAGTTAAATTTGAGAGATTAGTGCACCTTCTTAAACCAAAACCTAAGTCTGATACACCTTAATCACCAATTTAATTCTACCTTTTTAAATATTGAAGAAAAAATATAATGTAGATGTGTCAATTAGAAGAAAAAAATGAAGAAAAAAAATATGAAATAATAATAAATTAATTAACTAATTAAGAATAAAAGAAAAAGTTGAAAATAAAAAAATGAGTTAAATTAAAAAACAATCAAAGTAATTAATAAATAAAAATCAAATGAAAAGTCATAAATAAATAAATAAATTAATTAAAAGATTAGCTTATATTATTTTAAATTTATTTTTATATTCAAAAATATAGCTATCCAAAACAAATAAACTGCTTTTACTAAAGATCAAGTACCAAATTTGAGAGATTAGTGCATTTTCTTAAACCAGAACCTAAGGCTGATGCACCTTCATCGCCAATTTAATTCTACCTTTAAATATTGAAGAAAAAAAATATAGTTAATGTGTTAGTTTGAAGGAAAAATTCAAGAAATAATATGTAATAATAAGAAATTAATTAATTTATTAATAATAAAACAAAAGTTGAAAATGAAAAAATGAGTTAAATTAACAAACAAAAAAATACCAGGAGAATAAAAAAACAAAATAAATCAAATGGAAAGCTCATAAAGAAATAAATAAGTTAAAGGATTTATTTAAATTGTTTTCAATTATTTTTTATTTTCAAAAATATCACAATCTAAAACAAATAAACTGTTTTACCTTAGATCAAGTGTCAAATTTGAGAGATTAGTGCACTTTTCTAAGCCAATAAGTAAACCTGATGTACCTTCATCACCAATTTAATTTAGCCTTTTTAAATATTATGAAAAAATTTAATTTAATTTGATAGTTAGAAGTTAAAAATGAATAAAAAATATGAAATAATTAATAAGATCAAATGTTTAATAAGAAAAACTGAGTTAAATTAACAATTAAACAATGAAATAAGTAAAAAAAAACAGAAGCAGAATAGTAAATAATTAAAAAATAAAACGAAAAACTCATAAATACATAAATTAAAAGAGCTAGTTTTATTGTTTTAAATTCATTTTTATAATCTAAAATATCACACACAATCCTAAACAAATAAACTATTTTTACTAAAGTTTAAGTGTCAAATTTGAGAGATTAGTGCACTTTTATAAACCAGAACCTAAGCCTGATGCACTTTCATCACCAATTTAGCTTTCCCTTTTTAAATATTAAAGAAAAAAAATTAAGTTAATTTGTTAGTTAGAAGAAAAAAATGAAGAAAAAATAAGAAATAATAAGAAATGAATTAATTTATTAACAATAAAACAAAAATTGAAAATTAAAAAATAAGTTAAATTTTCAAACAAACAAATAAAAAAAACACCATCAGAATAAAAAAAGAAAATAAATCAAATGGAAAGCTCATAAAGAAATAAATAAATTAAAATATTTATTTATATTGTTTTCAATTATTTTTTATTTTCTAAAATATCATAATCCAAAAAAAATAAATTGTTTTACCTTAGATCAAGTGTCAAATTTGAGAGATTAGAGCACTTTCCTAAACCAGAACCTAAGCTTGATGCACCTAAAACATCAATTTAATTCGACCTTTTTAAATATATTGAAAAAAAAATAAAGAGTTAATTTGTTAATTAAAATGAAACAATGTAGAAATAATATGAAATAATAAGAATTGAATTAATTTACTAATTAATATTAAAGATGAAATTGTAAATGAAAGAATGAGTTTAATTAAAAAACAAAGATTTAAAATCAGTATAAAAAAAGAAAAATAAATAAAATACAAAGCTAACAAATAAAATTAAAAGAGTTAGTTATAATGTTTTAAATTCTTTTTTATATTCAAAAATATCAGACACAATCCAAAACATATAAACTATTTTTACCATAGTAAAAGTGTCAAATTTGAGAGATTAGTGCATTTTTCTAAACAAAAAACTAAGTCTGATATACCTTCATCACCAATTTAATTCTAGCTTTTTAAATATTGAAGAAGAAAAAATAATAATTTATTTTTTTAGTTATTTAGAAGGAAAAAATCAAGAAATAATATGAAAATAATAAGAAATGAATTAATTTTAAATTCATTTTTATATTCAAAAATATCACACAAAATCCAAAACAAATGAACTGTTTTACCTAAGATCAAGTGTCAAATTTGAGAGATTAGAGCACTCTACTAAACCAAAACCTAAGTCTAATGCACCTTCATCATCAATTTAATTAGACCTATTTAAATATATTAAAGAAAAATTAAAGAGTTAATCTGTTAATTAAAAAGAAATAATATGAAATAATAGGAAATGAATTAATTTACTAATTAATAATATAAGCAAAAGTTGAAAATTAAAAAATGAATTAAAAACAATCAAAGTAAAATAAATAAAGAAATAAATAAAAAACAGGAAGAATTAAAAAAAGAAAAATAAATAAAATAAAAAGCAAATAAATAAATTAAAAGAGTCAGTTATAATGTTTTAAATTCTTTTTTATATTCAAAAATATCACACACAATCCAAAGCAAATAAACTATTTTTACCATAGTAAAAGTGTCAAATTTGAGAGATTAGTGCACTTTTCTAAACAAGAAACTAAGCCTGATACACCTTCATCACCAATTTAATTCTACCTTTTTAAATATTGTAGAAAAAATATAATTTATTTTGTTAGATAGAAAGAAAAAATGAAGTAATAATATGAAATAATAAGATATGAATTAATTTTAAATTCACTTTTATATTCAAAAATATCTCAACTCAAAACAAATAAACTGTTTTTACCATAGATCAAGTGTCAATTTTGAGAGATTAGTGCATTTTCCTAAACCTGAACCTAAGTCTGATGCACCTTCACAGCCAATTTAATTTCGCCTTTTTAAATATTGAGAAAAAATATAAAGTTAATTAATTTGTTTGAACAAAAAAATGAAGAAAAAATATGAAATAATAAGAAATTAATTAATTTATTAATAATAAAGCAAACGTTGTAAATTAAAAAAATGAGTTAAATTAGCAAACAAGCAAAGAAATAAATAAATATAAAAAACACATAAGCAGGATAAATAAAAAAAAATAACTTAAATGAAAAACAAAAAATAAATGAATTAAAAGATTTAAATTTATTGTTTTAAATTCTTTTTTATATTCAATAATATCACAATTCAAGACAAATAAACTGTTTTTACCTTAGATCAAGTGTCAAATTTTAGAGATTAGTGCACTTTCCTAAACCAGAACCTAAGCTTGATGCACCAATTATGCCAATTTAATTCTACCTTTTTAAATATTGAAGAAAAAATATAAATTTAATTTGTTAGTTAAAAGGAAAAAATGAAGAAAAAATATTAAATAATATGAAACTAATTAATAATAAAAGAAAAAATTTAAATGAAAAAATGAACTAAAGATTAAGTGTCAAATTTGAGAGATTAGTGCACATTTCTAAACCAGAACTTAAACTTTATACACCTTAATCACCAATTGAATTTCCCCTTTTTATATTTTGAAGAGAAAAAAAAAGAAGCTAAATTCTTAGTTATAAGGAAAAAATGAAGAAATAAAAAGAAATTAATTAATGAATAATATCAGCAAAAGTTGAAAATGAAAAAATGAGTTAAATTAGCAAACAAACAAACAAACAAAAAAATAAATAAATAAAACACAAACAGAATAAAAAAAGAAAAATAAATCAGATGAATAGCTCATAAAGAAATAAATAAATTAAAAGACTTATTTATGTTGCTTTAAATTCATTTTATATTCAAAAATAATATCACAATCAAAAACGAATTAACTGTTTTTACCATAGTTAAAGTGTTAAATTTGTGAGATTAGTGCACTTTCCTAAACCAGTACTTAAACCCGAAGTACCAATTTCACCAATTTAATTTCCCCTTTTTAAATTTTGAAGAAAAAGATATAAAGTTAATTTGCTAGTTAGAAGGAAAAAACGAATAAATAATATGAAATTATAAGAAATGAATTAGTTAACTAATTAATAATAAAAGTAAAAGTTGAAATGGAAAAATGAGTTAAATTAAGAAACAAACAGAGAAATAAATAAATAAAACACAAGCAAAATAAAAAAATAAAAAAATAAATCAAATGATAAGCTCATAAATAAATTAAAAGAGTTATTGATAATTATTGTTTTAAATTCATTTTTATATTCAAAAATATCACAATCCAAAACAAATAGAATGTTTTTACGTTATATCAAGTGTCAAATTTTAGAGATTAGGGCACTTTCCTAAGCCAAAACCTAAGCCTGATGCACCAATTGGACCAATTTGATTTGACCTTTTTAAATATTGAACAAAAAATAATTTGTTAATTTTTTAGTTATTAATAAAAAATGAAGAAAAAATATTAAATAATAATAAATAAATAAAAAAATTAATAAAAAAATCAAAAGTTGAAAATGAAAAAATGAATTAAATTAACAAGCAAACAAATAAATAAATATAAAAAATAAGGAGAATATAAAAAAATAAAGGAAATGAAAAAATCATAAATAAGCTAAAAGAGTTAGCTATATTGTTTTAAATTCTTTTTTTAATTGAAAAAATATCATAACCAAAAACAAATTAACTGATTTACATCAAATTGAGAGTTAAATTTGAGAGATTAGTGCACTTTTCTAAACCAGAACCTAAGCTTGATGCACCAATTTCATCAATCAAATTCTGCCTTTTTAAATATTGAAGAAAAAATAATAGTTAATTTTTTAGTAATAATGAAAAAATGAACAAAAAATATGAAATAATAAGAAAATAATTACAGTTAGCGAACTGAAAAATTAAACAATAATTTTTTAAGAACAATAATAAACTTTTATTTAAATATATATATGTTATCAATTTATATGCTAAGAAGCTAGTAATAATTTGATAAATTGTTTTACTATGAAATTCTATCTCTAACTGTTAAATCATAAAAACTTTAAAATTCAATTAGTCAAAAATAAAAGAAATTTTGATTAAAAAAATAATGAGAAAATAAAGAGAATTAGTTGAGATTTCAGATGACAAGAGAAGAGGGAATAAAAGCTCTCTTTGATGCAGAAATCACAAAATATAATTAAATATAGTATAGAATAAAAGATAAATATTAAATTTCTAAGGTAACAGTTTATAGGATCATCAAGAAAATAAAAAATGGAGAGCTACTTTTGAAAAAGAAAAGGAAAGATCATGCATGAAGTGAGTTAGATGAATAAATATAAATTGAGGATAATAAAATTTCATACGAGAGTCATAGTATTGTGACTCTAAAACTATTAAAAATAGGGTGTTACACAAAATATCTAAATAAAAGTGGCTAAAATAATAAAATATTGAAATTTTTGATCTCTTTAACACAAGTCCGCCTATTTTAGAAAAACAAAGCAATATTAAGAAAAAGATTTGGGAGATTTCACAAAAATGATGATATTGAGTGGGTTATTTTTGATAATGAAAGTAAGTTTTAAACTTATAGTCATTCAAAAAATCATATTACTTAATAAATTATGTTCTGAAAACTTAATCTTTTTTGTGAAGCATTCTTTTAAAGTAAATACTTGGATAGCTATTGCACTACTTGGTAAATCACAAATCCATCAATTTAAGGAGAATATCAATGGTGAAAAATATAAATAAATACACAAGCAGTACTTAATTCCCTTAGCTATGAAAACTTCAGAGGTTAGACAGCCAATCTCTATTAAGACAATAACCCGAAAGATAAAAAAAGGATACAATTAACAATTTAAAATATGAATTGGTTAGAATAGCTGACTGACCCTCAAACTCTTCAGACCTTAATCCTATATTAGGGCATTATTAAGAAGGAACTTAAAAAAGTTAATCCAAAAACAGAATCAGAACTAATTTCATAAATCATGAAATCTTGGAGGATTTTATAATAACATAAAATTGATAAACTAATAAATTCTTGGAAGAAAAGATCTGAACTACTTATTTAAAATAAGGGATATAAAATCTAATACTGATTTATTTAATTTAGTTTTTGTTTAATGTTATGTTTTATTTTTAAATATATTAAATTTTTCATATTAGTTTCAAATATCAATTCGCTAACTGTATTTAATCATAATAAAAGCAAATGCTAGAAATGAAAAAATTAGTTAAATTAACAAATAAATAAATGAAGAAAAAAAAAACAAGCACAATAAAAAAAGAAAAACAAATTAAATAAAAAGTTTATAAAGAAATAAATTAAAAGAGTTAGTTAGTTATATTGTTTTAAATTCAATTTTATATTTAAAAATATCACAATCCAAAACAAATAAACTGTTTTTACTTAAGATCTAGTGTCAAATTTGAGAGATTAGTGCATTTTCCTAAACTAGAACCTAATATTGATAAACCTTCATCACCAATTTAATTTGTCCTTTTTAAATAATCAAGAAAAAATATATTTTTAATTAATTTGTTAGTTAGAAGGAAAAAATATGAAATAACTAATTAATAATAAAAACAATGGAAAAATGAGTCAAATTAACAAAAAAACAAATAAATAAATAAAATAAAAAACAAAAGTTAGTTTATATTGTTTTAAATTCATTTTTATTTTCAAAAAAATCACAATTCTAAACAAATAAATTGTTTTTACTAAAGATTAAGTGTCAAAATTGAGAGATTAGTGCACTTTTCTAAACCTTAACCTAAGCCTGATAAACCTTCATCACCAATTGAATTTCCCCTTTTTAAATATTCAAGAAAAAATATAAACCTAATTTGCTAATTATAAGGAAGAAATAAATGAAGCAAAAATATGAAATAATAAGAAATTAATTAATCTATCAATAGTAAAAGCAAAAGTTGATAATGAAAAAATGAGTTAAGTTAACAAACAAACAAACAAATAAATAAATAAAATATAAGCAGAATAAAAAAAGAAAATAATCAAATGAAAAGCTCATAAAGAAAGAAATAAATAAATAAAAAAAGTTATTTATTTTGATTTAAATTCATTTTTGTTTTCAAAAATATCACAATCCAAAACTAATAAGCTGTTTTTACTAAAGATTAAGCGTCAAATTTAAGAGATTAGTGCACTTTTCTAAACAAGAAACTAAGCCTTAAGCACCTTCATCTCCTATTTAATTTCCCCTTTTTAAATATTTAAGAAAAAATATATAGTTAATTTATTAATTATAAGGAAAAATGAAGCAAAAATATTAAACTATTTGAAATAATAAGAAATGAATTGATCAATCAAAAGTAATAGCAAAAATTTAAAATGAAAAAAGGAGTTAAATTAGCAAACAAAAAAATAAATAAATAAAAAATCACAAGTAGAATAAAAAAAGAAAAATAAATCAAATGAAAAGTTCATAAAGAAATAAATAAATTAAAAGAGTTAGTTAGTTAGTTATTTATATTGCTTTAAATTAATTTTTATTTCAAAAATACCACAATCCAAAACAAATAAACTGATTTTACTTCAGATCAAGTGTCAAATTTGAGAGATTAGTGCACTTTCCTAAACCATTACCTAAGCCTGATGCAGCTTCATCATTAATTTAATTTCGCCTTTTTAAATATTGAAGAGAAATATATAGTTAATTTGATAGTTAGTTAGTAGGAAAAAATGAATAAAAAATATAAATATAAAAAATAAAAAGTTAATATTCATATTAAAAATCAAATTAAAATAATTAATAAAAAATAAAATTGAATGAATATGAATGAAAATTTAATTTTAAATAAAAAAGTAAATCATATCAAAATTAAATAAATAAAACATTAATAAACCAAATATACCAATAACATTTATTCAGATCAATATGCAGAACCTAAAACGATTAAAATGAAGAGCTTAAAAACTTTTGTTATTAATAAAAATAAATTGAATTATTATTAATTAATAAAAAGTAAATTTACTTGTTCTAAATTGTTAAAATATTTTTTATATTATATCATTTATTTTTTTTTCTTAAAAGATATCGAATAGCAATTTATGGAGATTTAATTAATTATAAGTATATTAATAAATTAATTAACTATTATATCAAATTAATTTAGACAAAAGGAATAAATAAATTTTAATAATTATCAAATACAAATTTAAAAATTTTATTTTAGATGGAGAAATCCCAAAAAAGTTTAAAGTTAATGTAGCATGAATCAATTATTAAATCTTAATATTTTTATTAAAATTTTCTACTTATAAAAATAGTAAAAATCAAATGGTATATTGATTAAATTCTATTAATTAATTTCTTTAATATTGATAAAATAATATATTATATTTTTATGTTTTAGTTGAGGTGAATTTTAAAAGATATATTTATATAATTTTAACTTTTTTTTTGCTTGAAATTAGAATCTATACTGAGTATTTATGAAGATATAAAAATTGAATAAAGCGTGAAGCTTTTAAAAAACTTAATAGAGCAGTTTAATACTCCTCTTAATATAAAAATATGTACCAGCCTATCAAAAATTGAAATAAGGGAATTTTACAATAGAAAATAAAAGACAAAAACGATCAAATCACTAAAAATATTTTTTAAAAAATAGATAATCAAAATAGTAAGATTTCAATCAAATATATGAATTAACTTCAAGTATAAATATTAAAATATATTTAAGAATGATAATTTTTATATTAATAATTTAGTAAAAAATAACGAAATTTAGGTCTATGATTAAGAGTAATTTGAAGCAAATTAATGATAATGTATCAATTTATATACAATAAAAGAGTAAAAACTGATTAATAATTTACTTTTAAGTGAAATTTATGATTCAAACTACTTAAAATAATATTTTTTTCATTGAATTAATAACAAAAATATCTTGTTATGGAGAGAAGAAATAAAGGAATATATTGATCACATATAATTCATTTTATTTTCTAAAAAGCTTTTACAGCTAAAGATGTATATAACAGTTTGATATAAAGTAAAGAAATTGCATATTACTCCATTCAAATGATTCTAAAATATGTTCAATTGTAGTGAGAAATGTATTTAAATTAAATTTGAGAATTAATTATATTAAAGAATAAGCAGGAAACACTAGAAAGCATTCTTAAATGTGTATTAAAAATTAATTTCAAATAGAAATAAAATTGTAAATGAGATATTTAAAATTGACTATATAAATACTATTAATTAAATAAAAAATAAATAGGATTAGAGGTATAAATAATTTTTCAATAGAATATTTGAAGTTGATTTAAAAAATCAGCTTCACAAAAAAAGAATTTTCTTTATTGTCTTTATCAATAAAATATTTTTATGATAAATATATATCTTTAAAATGAATATAAATTTTCTTATCAATATTAAATTAAAAATTATTATCATAAAAAAACTTAAATAATATTTAAATACTACAATTTAATTAATTTAAAATATATAGTATTTAAATATTCAATTAGTTAAGAATTTATGAATAATCCATCCTCTCCTAAAAATTATAAGATAAAAATTAAATAATAGAGTTTTTATTTAGCGAGGGAGGGGTTTTATTATTTTGATGCGTGCGTTTTTTCAAACAAGTTAAAAATTTCAATTTAATTTTGTTATCAATAAGCATTTCCACTATTAACAAAATAAATTGACTTTTATTTATATATTTTAAATAAAATATATGAATTCGAAAAAATTTTAGAAATAAAATATTTTTGAGTTTATTTTTAGTTGATATATTAAATGGATAAATGATATTTAAAAAAATGGCGAATAAATTTATTTAATGATTAATTTTAATAAATCAAATTTAGTTTTTTACATATAATGGAGTAAATTGATAAAAGTAATTAAGAATGATCTTGAAAAAGGAAAGCATTTAGAAATTTTATTGTTATATAGATTAATAACTAATAAAAATTAATTAATTTGTTGTGTATGCTATTAGTTTGATTTTGTATGTATTAAAAAGTATGATCATCTTTGAATCTGTAAGTAATTAATCCATTTTTAATTTTGAAATAATATTCAGTAATCATCATTAGGCAAGTAGGTTACCCGCAATAAATGAGTGTATTTGGAAGTTACTTATATTTTGTAAATACATTATGTCTTCTCTTTTTTTATAAATTTTTAGGTTAGAATAATATGTAATTTTACAAGAAATTAAAAATGGTATTTTAGATTATGAATCAGAAATAAATAAATATAAAAATTGCTTATAATTTGTAATTGTTTTTTTGTATATGTTTGTATCTATATAAAAACAAATTTTGTGAGATGATAAGTCATATTTTTTATTCAAAATAGTATAGTATACTTTTGAAATTTTAGTAAAGGTTATCAATTAATCAAATAAGTTAACTACATTTCAGAAAATAATTAAGGATAAAGTAAAATAGGGAATCAGAATAAATTTTTGATTGAATGTTAGCTTTTAATTATTTATTTTTATTAGAAAAAGGTTTTTTATACCAGCGGCTAAAATCAAAAGATGATTCAGTGATTAAAATAACTATAACTAATTAAAAAATAAATGTTTGAATTTCTAACAATATATTTCTTGAGTAAGAATAGAAGATAAATTGTAGATTATAAGTACATAAATTAAGCAAGGTTTTTAGTTTTTTTTTTATTCCTTAGTTTGTGATAATTAAATAATAATAATAATTTAAAAACTAATCAATTTCTTGCTAAAATAATAAGTAAGGATAAAGAGAAAAATTAGTTTCCAAGAAAAATACTATTTAAAAAAGAGGAAACATTACCTGTGAATCTTAATAACATATAATAAGATATTATGCATCAAATTCAGACAAAGTAAACATAATTTGTAATATATTTTTTGGAAAAAATAAAATTATACTATTAGATAATAAATGGGATCTTTAGACAGTGTTTAAATTCAATCTAGAGAAAAAGTTTAATCACTCGAACAACATAATACCTATTTCATAATAAATAATATTCAATAACGTACTTTATAACAAAGATGTTCTAAACCTTTAAATATCTCTTCAGGTAAAATAAAAAACTTTAACAATATATTTTTTTGACATTTTCAAATTGAAATATTTTAATAGATGATTTGAATACAGATGTAGAAGATAATGATGATTAATAAAAAATTAATTTTATAAATAACTTTACTGTTCAAGGTTTTTTTCTTCACACTGAAGATTAATATTAAAATTTAGAATGTCCTAAAAACTCCAATCAGCTATAAAAATGTTTGTCATTAAGTAAATTTTTATAAAATATCTTGAAGATATTTAAATATTTTTATCTATTTAAGCAAGCTAAGATTCATCTTCTAATAACAGCTAGACTTTAGATTTAAAAAGCGATGACTCTGTATTCAATAAATAAGATGACTTTTTTGCATAAGGCAGCTATTAAGATTAAACCAGTAAATTTAATTTTGTTTAATTAATTTGATTTTATTGAACCACCATAAAATATAGAATAGGTTCTTTCTTTTTTTGATGATATTAAAAACGATGACGACTAATAAATTAACATATAAAATTCATGTATTGAAAAATCTTAATAAGTAGTAAATAAATCTAAGTTCTACGAAAGTCAAAAGCAAAACTTCTGTCAATGTAAAATTTAAAAAAAATAAAATAAATATATTAATAATTTAGAATAAAATAAAATTAGAAATGAATGAACAAGTAGACAATCCTTAAATAAATTTCTTTAATATGGACTTCTATGAAATTTATAATAAATATCTTGTTCAGCTTTTGCTTAAAAGTGAGTCCAATCAGTTAATATCTGAATAATAATATTTTTATAGTGAGCTTGTGATTAAAATATCTAGTAATGGGAAAAAAAAATAAAGAATATTATTCATTACATAGAATTATTTATATGTCTTAAAAACACTTAAGAGTTATAGAGGTGTCAAAAAATATGATATTAAATAAATCAACAAGATAACATTCCATCATAAGTGTTAAAACATTTGTTCTATTTTTGTTAATGATATCCTTAAAATAAATTTGAAAATAAATTATATCAGCGAATTTAAAGAGTTTTTACAAAATATTTTTAAATTATTACCTAAAACTAAGCAATTAATAGATTAAAGTTAAAATAGATTTAATAGCAATGTAGATTAAATTAAACCTACTAATCAAAATAATCCATAAAAATTAGAATAATTTTTATCAAATTAGCAAAATTCGTATTATATCTTAATAGGAAAAGTAGGCAATAGTGATTTGAGTGTCTAACCTGAAATATAAGGATTACTGTAAATATTTGGTAATAGTATTTGTATAGCTGCACTAGATATTTGCTAAGATTTAAATCGACTTACATAAGTTTAGCTATTATAAATAAATTAATAAAACAGGCACTTTGTCTTTTAATCTTTAAAGAATTAAGATAATCTTTATAAAATAAAATTATAAAATAATGATGATTATCCAAATTTTATAAAATCTTTATAAAATTGTTATAATCAATGATTAATAATACCTGTTATTTATATTGTTGTCAATTTTATATTTTTATAAATGTTTCAATTTATTAAATTTTCAAATAAACACTTTTTAATTTTTAAAAATGAATTTGAGTGGATTTTCTGTAAATGATTGATTGCTTGAACTAAGGAAATTCATTTTGATGACGTCTTCATATTCTTCAATTTTAATGCATTAACAACTTTTAGTATAATTTAGTTATTTATATTTATTTATTTTCTTAAAATTCTACTTATACATTAATTTTTCTTATTTTAATTAGTGTAAACTCTAATATATTTCATATTCTAATTTTTAAAATATTAACAAAAATTTTTTTAATTTATTTTAATTTTATTTGCTAAATAAATAAATAAACATTTTAGATATTGAATTTTTTAGAGTGTATATATATAGTGAAGATCTTATATTGATGCACATAGCATATATAAAAATATAAAAAGAATATTATCATAAATATAATTAACAACAAAGTATTATTATAGTCATTCAAAGATTATATGGCTCTATGTTACCATTTAAAATATCTTAATCCTATTTTAATAAAATAAAAATAAATATTATTTCTATAATTCAATAAGATACTGAACATATTGGGCTTTATAATGAAAATTAGCCTGTAAGAGTCACTTTATATTTTTCAACTTTTAGACGCTTTATATTATTCTTAAATATAAATTTATGCACTTTAAGCCATAAGCTACTTACTCTTTATACAGAAACTGACTAATTTTTGAATAGCTTGCATTTAAAAAATAATTTTGATATTTTTGTCTAATAGATATTTTTTCTAGAACTTGTAATTCTCAAGTAAAGAATGATAAGTTTTGTTAGACCTATTAAATTTAAGATCATTAAAATTAAAGAAATTGATACATTCGTAGCTTCGTTATTAGTAAATTAAATTATGCACCAGAATAAAAGAGATAATATTATAATTTATTAAAGGAAGATTTCTAACTTTTATAGATATCTTTTTTAGAAAGGTTTAATAGTGGTTACCATTTGCAAATAAACAAAGCAAACACCTTATATTAGCAATAATTTAATTATCAAAGAAATGTTTATGTTTAAGATAATCATGATTAAGCATTTTTAAAGCATTTTGATTACTTCCCAGTAATAGCACTTTGTTTAATAACCTTATTGAAGAAAATAAAATGAAAGTAGGTAGCTGATTTTTTAGTTAGATTTCTTTTTTTAAGCTGTTTGCATTACTTTAAATAGAATATAAGGTATTAAAAAGCACCAAACCACTGTCAAAGGATATATTAAACCAATTAATAAAATTAAATAGTTTTCTACCCAGCATTCTTACATATAATCATTTTGCATATAATAATTTGATCCTATTTTCTAGCAAAAGCATAGAGAGATAAATAATTTTGCTATTGAAGAGTAATAAAATAGATAAATGAAAATTAAATAAAATGATTTTCTGTGAAACTTTCTTTAGAATTTGTCTACAAATTACCTAGAAAATATTAGTAAAATTGTAATAGTAAAAATTATAAACAGTTAAAGTAATAATCTATTCAGCCAAAGCATTGGTAAAATTGAATTTTTAAAAAGACAATCAAAACTAGAGAATGTTAAACTAGCAGGATCGCCTCCAACTTATACAATAGAATTCAGAGCAAATGGTAATTACTAACTTAGATTGATTGATGAGCAAAATATTTAAAGGTAATGAAAAAGAATTTTAATGATTGTTCCTAAATCTTATTCTAAATATATTGTTTTATTTATAAACAATATTTGCATCTTATTCAAATACAATAACTTAAGAAAAAGAACTTTTTTAGCTACTTAATTTTTGAGATTGTAATAGAGATACGTTCCATAAAACGCAGTGAGGAAAATAGTGAAAACATATACAAACGCTATTTCTTGACATTATACACATCTATCTCCATTTAAAGCATATTAAGCATTCCAATACTATCCTTTGTAATCACAAGAATCACATAAAGGACCTATATATCCTTTTATGCAACCATTTATTTGAATTTTGTTTGTTTCACTGCATCCATTTTTTAAGCAAGAATAGATTTCGTCTGTTGTATTTGACTCTCTCCAATAATTATCTTTTAAAATTAAACGGTCTTTATAGCAGTTTGAAGTATATTATTGAGGGCATTTTAAGCACTGTAGGCTATCTATATTTTTTTCATCTGAGTATGGATCAGTTAGAGAGTAAGTTCCTGGCTAACATTCGTAGCACCTAAATTTATATAAATATATTCAATATAATCAAATAAAGGAATTTAATGAATAAAATTTACTATATGAATCCTTAATTTCTTTATCTTATCTCTCCTATTTTGCATCTCCTAAAATCTAATTCTAAATCAAGTACAAGAATTTTGTTAGATATTTATGAGACTAATTTTAACTAATAAATAGAGTTATTGCTATATCCTGCTGTAATATTTAACTTAAATAAATTTAGTTCTTAAATATATTCCAACTTATTTCCTTGCACAATAACTAAATCTTTTTAGTCAGGTAATGTTTAAATTTGTATCTAATAACTCTATATTTCCTATAATATACTATCTGATAAATGATCGACATCACTATTGATATCTAGAGATATCATTCTGTTTTCTTGATCGATAAATTGCACATAGAGAGGATTTTTTGTGTAGTTTCCACTTTAGAAATTTTCGATTTTGATATAATTATTATATTATTTTTTTTTTAAATCGTAGCTTAGAAGTTTTACAGGAAAAGAACCAATATTGTTTCCATAAAATCGCCCTTTTCATTTATAAATTTAAATTAAACTAAAAAAAAAATTATTATTAATAATTACCAGTGTTGTTAAACAATTTAGTATTTAGATCAACAAACAAAGATTAATCTTGATTATAGTAAATTCCTCCACCGATTATAGCTGTGTTTCCAATTATTTAAGATTAATTTATTATTAAATTACTATTTTCTGAACATATCGCTCCACCTCTTTCTTTTAATGATAGGTTATTTTAAAAAATTGATTCCAAAAGTGTTAAACTTGATTGATTAACATAAATCGCTCCTCCTGAAAAATCAAGAGCTTTGTTTGTAATAAAAGTAGAATTATAAACAGATGAAGTACTAATCTGTAATAAAAATATGGCTCCACCAAAGCCAAAGCTAGTATTATTCAAAAATAAAGAATTATTAAGGACAAATTTTGAAATAATTTATAAGTTTGCTACACTATGAATGTCTAAGCTTGATATCATATTATTGCTAAAAATATTTTGATTTCTAATGAATTAACTAGAAATTATAGACACTTAGGTTACTTACTTAAGCAATAAGATAGTTGAAAATGCTATAGTAGATATGTCACTAAATTTAACATTTTGAATTTCTAAATTTTATCCTAATTAGCAGTTAACAGTAGTTGAAGAGCTAAGGTATTAAATTTTTTAAAAACTTGAATTAGAAATTGAAAAATTAAAGAAATTTTCTTATTGAATCATATGACTATTTAATGTTAAGTTTTATGCAGTAAGATTTTTTATAATAGATAATTAGTTCATTAAATATATTAGAGGTAATTAGTTAGATGAATTGATATTTTCTATTTTAATACCTATAATTTAAATACTGTTACTATTTTAAATTGTATTAGTTCCTATGCTTGATTGTCTTAAACTAAGTAGCTAAATTGAAGAGCAATTTTTAAATTATAAATCGTTTATGAAAGCTTAATTTATTCCATTCATATCAATTTAACTCAAGCCAATATTTGATTAAGTCTAAAGCTATCTTGCCTTTGATAATTATTAATAAGAATTCAGTATATTTAGTTAATTTAATATTAAAGTATCAACTAATGAAAAAAACATCAAGCTAGGACTTTATGTTTTATTTGTTGAAATGTTTGTTAAACTAATTTGAAATCCGTAGTTAAATTGTAAGATAGGAAAACTGACTGTGTTATTATAAAATAAATTATTAGAAGATGAAAGCTAATTTTATAATTAAAAGTTGATAAATTATCCTTAGAATTAGACAAAGCCTATCTCAATTTAATGATAGAATTCTGTTTGTGTAATTTTAATTGTTTAAACTCTTAGAAAAATAAAAAGGTAAATTTGTTATTAGTTTTATTTGCCTTATGAATTGATATTTTAATATTAATAAATATCATTTAAGCTAATATCTGAGCAGTAAGATGAGTTTATAAATCCTGATTATAGTTAATTTTATTATATTTTAACATTTTCAAATATTACTTATTATATATTTGTGATTTGCATAAAACCAAAACTGAATTTAGATTCTTAAATAGTTAAATTTCTAATAACTAGAATTTGTATGTTATCAAATGAAAATAGAGGGTTTGATGAATTAAAAGTAACATTTCTTAATAAAATATTATTCAATGTGATTTGAGTAATATTTTAAAATTAAAAATTAGCAGAGATGCTTTAATTTATTATGTTTATTTCATTCAATATGAGTTAATTATATGAATGCATTATTACTTAACTTTGTTACTTATTAAAGCAAATTGAAATATTAGATAGCTAAAAATTTATCAGCTACTTGAATTAGTTCATGTCAATCACTTGTTAATCAGTTAAGTTAAATAGTAGCTATAAACTACCTATTTTTATGTTTTTGAAAGAACTAGAAATAAATTCTGAAGAATTGATAATGAGTGGACTACTATTTTATGAACTATTATCTGTATATATTTCAATTAAATCTGTACTTTTAAAAGTTATCACAACTGGGAATTTATAGCTTTTTATATAACAAATTAAATTAGCACACAAAAAAAATATGAAATTTACATTATTTAGTTTGGACTATAGTATATTTAGTATCTGAGAATTTTGTTATTTAGAGGAATTTAAAGCTATTATATTTCATGCTAAATTATTTAATAATTTAATAATTTATATTTATCTTTTAAAATAATTAATTTTACCTTATAGTTATCAGATGTATCTTTAATATATACTTAGACTTAATTGTAATCTTGGTCATAAGGCAGATTTTAGTTGAATATCTTTGATTAATAAACAATTTAAACTTAGAACAAGTTAAATTATGAAATCCCATAGATGTTTAAAAGAATTGAATTATTAATAAAGCTTGCTTCAAACTTATAAAGTTATGGATTTTATAAATTAGTTAAAGATTTTATTTTATAAATAAATTTCTATGCTATTTCATAGTAATCTAGCTAATTAGAAGAAATAGTCACTTAAAATATATTATAGTTGAGATAACTTATATCTGTAATAGTTTAATTTGAGCTAACTAAATGTTTTAGGTTGGAAATAAATGTTATATTTTAATCAAAAATCTATGCTACAAAAGGGCAGATAAAATAAAAGAAATTATTTTCTACTTTTATTTTAGTATTATTTGAACAAGGCTTAGCAAATTATTTAATAAAGATTATTTCAGAATTTGAGTTTAGATCTTTTGTTTTGATTTCTTTTATTTTCCAAAATTAAACTATGACATTTTAATTTTGTTACTAAGTCATAAGATAGATGCTATTTGTATTATTAATGAATTATTCATTAAAAATGTTATTTATCTAATATAATCCATTAAATTAGTATTAATAAAATATGTATGAATTATCAGTTTCATTAAATTTGAAAACAATAATTTTAGTATTTATTTAATTCACTAAGATATTCATCACTAAATAATCTTACATTTTTATATCAACTATATTTCCCTATTTTCATATTTAATAATAAAATTATCAAAAACAAATTAAATTAAAAATATAAAATTATTATTTTTAATAATTAATTTTTATTTGTGAAATAGTTGAATATAATTTAAAAAAAAAAATGATTACATCTGGAATTTATAGTGACAATACTTATGATTATTTTTAATCATAAACTATTACAGAATTGACGTTATTAGCTTATTATTCAAATGCTATTAATCTTTTATTAATTATTACTATTTATTTTATTTCGTTAGTAATAAATGATAAGCTTATAAACTACTATGAAGGTGGATAAAATATATAAATAGCTTAAGTTGTATCTTAATAAAGAAGAGTAGAAAATTAATTAGATATGATTATATTTTGAACAGAGATATTAAAACCATCAACATTATTAAGATTAATTTATCCAATAACTTTTTAAGTAGTATAATCAATGAGAAAATAATCAAAGTAGCCTATGCAAACAATTAAATTATAATTTAAAAATTAAACAATTTAGTAATTATAAATGGTGCTTGTGCTAATTTAATTATTTAGTAAAATACCTTATTAGAAAGTTTGCTCTTAGCTATCGAAAATAGAAATATAATTTATGTTATTATTTAATATAGCTATCTGTTTTTAGTTTTCGCCCAATAGTGCATACCAATTATAAGTTGAAAGCATAAAATAATGCGGTTAATAAAAGAAATAATTAATATCAAGCATATAAACTTAACCAAATTACTCAAATAGGAGTGTAGATAAATGTTAATTATACAAATAATATCCAGCAGGAACGTAAGCATTATAATTTTAAACCTAAAACTGCTGGATTACCATTTATCCTGTGTATGAAATTACATATCCAATAAAATTTTTTATTGTTGTTGTAGTTGATTTTTAGTTATTTATTATTGTTAAAATACCTAATTCGGAATCTATGTATATTGTTAAATTAGTTAAATCTACACTTGCTTAAAATATATTCAGGTTATTATTATTAAGTGAGAACAAAATAACTTGATTCTGGTACTTAAATATTTCAATCTATATTTTTTATAAAATATTATTAGTATATTAATTCGTTATGCCAAAAAAATAAAAACAAAGGCTATATTTTTTATTGAAGCTGATAAAATTATTTTGTTATTTTAAAAAGAAATTTAAAATTGATTTAAATTTTTTAAATATCAATCATATAAATAAAAATAAATTTAGTTTTAAAATTTAGGTTTAAGCATTTTGAGTTTTAAATAATCGATAATAATTAATTTTTGTTTATGATAATTAATTTTGGATTTTTATTAATATTTAAGTTTAAAAAATTACCTAATTTTTTTAGTCACTTCCTATGTAAATGTAGTTACTATTAAAAGTAACTGAATAAATCTAGTTAAATGTTTCGATTTATAAAATTAAAAGCGAATTGCTTAACTAAATGCACAGTAATCCAAGAACTTGATATAGGCTTGCATTTTTATATATGCTATTAAGTATTAGCTTATTTAATAAAATAAGCTATTTATTTTGTTCATCAAAACTATACTTATTTATTTAATTTTACATGAATATTATCAATAATTCGTTGTAGAAGACAATATTTTAAACTACTAAATTCTGTTAAATAATAATCTATCCAACATTGTTAAATATAGTCAACTAATTCTAAGAAGTTGAGATGAAATAATAATTATTTTTAAAATTATATAGCGAAGAGATATTATATCCTTGTAAAGAATTTCCTAAGTTAGTTTATTAGACTAAATTTTTATCAATGATAATTTAATTTTGATGCAAATAATCATAAGCTATAATAAATATTTAGTCTTTTCTTTACAAAACTTAATGTTAGCTTATATAGTTAAGAGATATATTCTTATTTGTTTAAAAATCTTTGATTGTTAAAGGATTAATACCACCATTAGAAAAAAGATAAAATAAGTATATATCAGTATTTTCAATATTATCAAAATATGTTTCTTATTCATAATTACCTAAATAAAAACATTAATTTTAATAAATTAATTAATTATTTATTTATTGAAAAAAAATAAATTACTTTGGAACGCTCTCAAATTTCCATCTTTGATTGAAACAATTTGCAATTATTCATTTTAAGATACAGCTAGAACTTTAACTAGAGGGTATTAATTATATTTTTGAGAATATAGGTATGAGAAGAATAAATTTTAATTTATTGTATAATTTAATCGGTAGCTGAGTACTTCATATTGTGGGTATGTTAAAAATAAAAAATCTTATTAGAAATAAATAATATTGCCAATTTATTTATTAATATATTCTGCTTAGTTTTTTTAAGTATCAAGTAAAACTGTGTTATATTTATCCTAATTTATTTTTAGAATATAAAATTTTGGTAAAGAATAAATACTTAATTTTGTTTAATGTTACATTCTAAAATCTAACTAGCAAGTACTTGTTTGAACCTGTAATTTCTTCTATAGAATTAATGTTATCTTCAAAAGATATTAAGGTATATTAAATACTTTGACTCGACATATCCATGTAATAAAGATTCTA